TGTCTCATCTTGGGCTACCAGCTGTGGGAGCGGGTTGTCTCATCTTGGGCCACCAGCTGTGGGAGCGGGTTGTCTCATCTTGGGCTACCAGCTGTGGGAGTTTTATTATATATTAGTAATATTTTTGTATTGATATTAATATTAGTTATCACATAAGGATCATTATTCGCTGTTAATGTATACACATTACGCGTTAATGACAGTAACGCCTTCGTTTGTATATAACCAAAGGACGTGAGAATGATATTAAAGGAAATTTCAATCGTATCAACACCGACTCGAGACGTGACCTCAGGGCGGCGAGTGCCAAGATAAGTCAGGAATTGTCAAAGTCGATACGCGAAAATAAAAAGCATTATTTGAAAACCTTCTACCTAACGCCAATCGGAGGAGCGCGAAAATCGTCAAATTAAAGCATTAATTGATAGGTGAGTAACGGTAAGGTTCGCCAAAAATGCCGCCAGGTCGCGTAGAAAAAGCCATCGCCAAAATAAAAATTGGGCGGGAAGAGAGGTGTTGGGTGGCCGGAGGAGACATCTATCACGGCGAAGTCAGGATGACACTCCCGCCCGGACCTGCCCTTGAGTTCTCGAACCCAGCCCTCAGGTCCTAGCACCCCAAGTCCTGGTCTTCCAGCCCGTCCAGATCTTAAGTTCCAGCCCTCAGGTCCCACTACGCATTTCCCAGCCCTTAGTCCTCTTCCCTTATAGTTCCCACTCCACACTTTCCATCCCTCAGTTCCCCGTGTTAAGAGTGGGGGAGGAAGGAGCACAAACCGCCGTCCCACGTAATCGGAGACACACTCTACCGTTGTGTTGCACCAGTAACACAGGGACCTTGACAGCTCCTCCGAGGACCGCCAAAAATGCACACTGCCCCCGAAGGGTGGTAAGGTAGAGCGAGAGGTGTCGTGGAGAGGTACCCGGGGTCGTCACACTCACTGGACCACACCATCGTTCCTTAGTTATAAGGGGTGGACACCTCCTCCCCAAGTTCCAAAGAAACCAACTCCTGAAAACAACCGCCGCTACACCAATGGCAGCTCCCGAGCAAACTGTGAGGCGAGGACTCCTCGACATCCTGGCCTAGGCTTCCTTGGCGGCCTCGGTAACATCTCAGCCACCGCCGCCTGATAAGACTGGACCTGCGTCCAGAACAGGCGTGCCTGGCTACCTCGACGACTCGCCTTCAGTTGTCTTACAGCCTAGCCTCACTTTCCTCCATAGCGAAATCTGATAATCCCTTCATATGGACAACCTTTACCCAGTGATAGTGTAAACTCCTAAAACTCTCGTGTAGATCACAGCATGGCATAGTTCAAGTAGCATGGAAACACAGTGTTCAAAATTTATAGCATCATTTACTAAAGGATATTATACAAACTCAAACCAATAATCTGGGAGCACTAGCCTCATCTACTGCTAAACTTTACGGATACTCTTAGCCCTGGTCTGATTAATGTTAGTCTTCGGAGACGATTCTGGTAGCTGTAACATTACCTTTGCAAATTAATTCACTTTCTCAAGAAATTAGGAGACTTGGAAAACGAATTTTTCTTTAAATTGTATCATACAATATTCATTGACGTATAATCTCTCTGTAGCATTACGTTATCATCTGTTGTGAAAGTTATACCTCATGGTTACTAGTTATTTCGCCATAGCATAACACACACACACACACACACACACATATATATATATATATATATATATATATATATATATATATATATATATATATATATATATATATATATATATATATCTATGCCCAAGATTACTATCCGAGTGCCGGCGGTGGGGTGGTTCAAATAGCCTCGGCTATCACCTCATTTTGTCCGGTCGTGATGGTCAAGTGGATTAAGGCGTCTTGTACATACCAGTTGCGTTGCTCCTGGGAGTATGGGTTCGAGTCACTTCTGGGGTGTGAGTTTTCAGTTGCATATTGTCCTGGGGACCATTCAGGCTTGTTCGCATTTGTGTTCCTCACGTGTGCCCCAAAGAATGAGGTGATTTGGTAAAATGCTATGCCCAAGATTACTATCCGAGTGCCGGCGGTGGGGTGGTTCAAATAGCCTCGGCTATCACCTCATTTTGTCTGGTCGTGATGGTCAAGTGGATTAAGGCGTCTTGTACATACCAGTTGCGTTGCTTCTGGGAGTATGGGTTCGAGTCACTTCTGGGGTGTGAGTTTTCAGTTGCATATTGTCCTGGGGACCATTCAGGCTTGTTCGCATATATATACATATATATATATATATATATATATATATATATATATATATATATATATATATATATATATATATGTATATATATATATATATATATATATATATATACATATATACATCCGAGTACATGAATTATTATAATATAATGCCCTTTAAGGAACTTGCAGTCAAAAGTGAATGGAAAGGGAAAGTTCCTTTGCTAGAACAGCTGATATATCCAACAGGTGCGTTAAGTATCTCTTTGGTCACTCCTCCAGCTGATTTGTGACTTCGGGTGTGCTCCCAAGACTCCTCTCCACCCACATGCAGCCTCGGCGTTGCCCCTGGTTTCACTAAGACACCATTTAACCTCTTCGGCTGGATGGAGGAGCGACGATCTCGCTTCATGCAGGTCGGCGTTCAATCCCAGACCATCCAAGTGGTTGGGCACCATTCCGTCCCATCCCAAATCCTTATCCTGACACCTTCCCAGTGCTATATAATTGTAATGGCTTGGCGCTTTCTCCTGATAATTACCTTACCTCAATCCCAGCCAAGTTGTCGATTAGCTTCGTTCCTTCGCGAACAATATGGGTCGCGTTCATGGGGTGCTCTCCCACCCCAAGTTGTTGTTGTTATTTTAGATTTAACTACTCGGAACGAAATGTCCATGTAGCACGGGCTATAGTGAGCCCGTAAAGTTGTTGTGGACTCTCATAAGGACGAGTCGCTCGGCAGGTCTTTACGCCTCTCCTGGGCCAACACGTGTCACTCGTACTGTTACTGTAGATTAATGTCCTTTTGGCTTGACAGGTAAAACACTCACAATAATCTTGCTTCTCTGTGGAAAGATTCCCTGTCACTGCACTTACTGGCCATCATGACCTCTTCCTACAGTGACTCTCTGTGTACCAACATCACTGGATTGACTTACTTGTCAAGTCGGGACTGCGCCTGGCTGGCAGATGACTCTCACTCTTCACGTGATGTGCTAACGTCGGAGGGTGACGGCATCACTCCCCTACCAGAGACCATGGGCGCCCTGCTTCATCTTAACTACAGCAGTCGTACGCCAAAATTTCTTTCTGCACGTCCACCTTATCCCAAGGTTGTCAGGTGCAACTCTTGGTGTTGGTAAATACTCGTGCTCCTCAGGTAGGCTCAACTCTCCACACGAATGCGAGTCTGGCAATAAATTCTGGAGTGCCGACGCATACGTCCTCACCAGATCATGGCCGCGTGGTCAGTGACCCAGCTCGCCTATCCCAGGTCCCGTGTCAGAGCTCATTGGTGACGTCACTGCAAGTCTCCTGTTCATTGGCTGCAACCTTGCAGCTCCTCCCAATCATGTCTCTCGTTGTATACCCTCTAGAGCAGTGTCACTGCACTAGGTGGGAAGGGAAGTATCAGCAGAGAGCGCCAAACCATTACGACTGTATAGCACTTGGAAGGAGCCAGGATAAAGTTTTGAGATGAGACGGGGGGAAGGAAAGGTGTCCAGCCACTTGGACGGTCCGGGATTGGACGCCGACCTGCGTGAAAGGAGACTGTCGCTCTACCGTCCAGCTCAAGTGGTTGGGTACACTAGGTGGGAACTTGCTCTTCGTCAGCAACTCTAGGCGCCATCTTGGCCAGCATCAGGCCACCTCATTCCTCCTGCCAATTCCTTAAAACCAAATTTACACTAAAATCATACCTTGCACTTTTCCCTCATAACTCAAAACATTCTTTGGGCCGTCTTGCATCTCATTAAATCGGGTACACTTGACTTGATGTGGGAAAGACCTGGAATTAGATGGCGATCAAAACTACTGCCCTCATGACGTCAGACTATATGTGTGTGTGTGTGTGTGTGTGTGTGTGTGTGTGTGTGTGTGTGTAGAGTCCACCTCTATCTCATGACCATATAATAGGTGTAGATGGAGTCTACCTGTACCTCATGACCTCAGAATATGAGTGTGAGGAGTCCACTATCTCACTACAGGTCAAGTACTTTACACTTCCTCACTAACGTAATGCTGAACTTAGTTTAATGCGGGCATTCCTGATGCTACTGTGTTTTGCCACATATACTTTACATCCCATATATCGTATCAGATTCCACTATAACTCCGTCTAATTCTTTCCATTTGCTCAGTATCCTTATGCTTGGATACTTATCTGTCAAATCCGTGACCACTTGCGCCTCACATGTCCGACCATGTTGTCTTGTTCTCCAATATCTCATAATAAACGTCATCCCTCACTTGAGAATGTGAGACGCTGTTGTAATATGACCCTTTTTCATCATGCATACGCGTGCAAGCGTGTGCAACTTTACATTTGCTCATATAAACGCTCTTACAACGTCAGTAGTCAGTTCCTAAGCTCCTTTTTTCGATCTATCAGTCGTTAATTGCAATGACTATTATATTTTATGTGTCATAGAACGTGCTTTTAAATTTGTGCTTCGTATTACCTTCAAATTCCAGCTTTTCTAGCCCTTGTGGTTATTTTTAACGTTAACTCGGCAGAAATTATTCGCGACTTCTCAATGGCTAAGTTGCTTCTCTAGTGCCATCCGCGGGCTCTGCTTCTGCTGCCTTTTCTCTTACTTCATCTTCGTCTGCTCTTGCGGTACCCCTTAGGATTCTACACGACGTAAGTATACCTTGCTCCTTTTTTTCTCCAAAGTGATGAGTTGTAGTTCCTGTAACCTATTCTCGTTGGTCAGTCTAATCAGCTTAAGAACGATCCTTGCCGCGTATCTCTGGATTATTTCAAGTTTTGCTTTGTGCTTTTTCAGGTGGATGTTCTCCGTCGAGGCTGCAAACTGGAGGATGGGTCTCAAGTAGGTTGTATACAGAGTCCTGATAGCATCTTTGTCTAGGTTGTCTAAGGCCATACGCAGCTTTGCCAGTGTGGTATAAGCTGTTATTGTTATTTTGCTTATATGTGCCCTCACTGTTTATGTTGATTATGTCTAATCCGAGATCTGTCACCTGTGATTAGAGGAGGCATCTCCAGTTGTAGTGTTCTTCTCTTCCTATCTTCTTAACCTGACCTTTGTCAAGAAAAAAAGTCCAGTAGTGGTTCTTCAGAGCATCTTTGGAAAGTGTGTAGATCCTCTTGAATCCTCCAGTAGTCCTCTGATTTAGATCTTTTAATTTCCTGCATATCGTCAACAAACATTGATACGAAAGAGCCTATTTCGACTTTTTAGGCAGTTGACGTATATCAGGAACAGAAAGGGCCCAAGAACCGGTCCCTGTGGTGTTACTCGCTTTCTCTCTCTCTCTATTCTCATGCCTCTCATTCCATACTGCCTGCTATCAGATATGTAATTCCATATTAAGAGTTGTTTCTCGTTTGTTTCTGAGCCTCATTTTATGTACATTTCTGGGTTGCATTGTTCATTATATACTGCAATTGTTGGGGTACCCGGCGTGGCTCGGGTGACGGAGACCTCCATCTTCACTACACAATATCGTCATCCCTCTGACCTCTGACACAGCTATCATCACTGTAACAACTTTTGCTACATACACTGTCTTCCTCACTGTAGCCATCTTAATTACTTTCAACCATCATCATTATAATCATCTTAGCTTCAGAATGTCTTCACTATCACTGTCTGTAAACACAACCCACAACACTGTAACCACCAGTACACACAACCCACAACACTGTAACCACCAGTACACACAACCCACAACACTGTAACCACCAGTACACACAACCCACAACACTGTAACCACCAGTACACACAACCCACAACACTGTAACCACCAGTACACACAACCCACAACACTGTAGCCACCAGTACTCACAACACTCAACACTGTAACCACCAGTACACACAACACTGTAACCACCAGTACACACAACACTCAACACTGTAACCACCAGTACACACAACCCTCAACACTGTAACCACCAGTACACACAACACTCAACACTGTAACCACCAGTACACACAACCTTCAACACTGTAACCACCAGTACACACAACCCACAACACTGTAGCCACCAGTACTCACAACACTCAACACTGTAACCACCAGTACACACAACACTGTAACCACCAGTACACACAACACTCAACACTGTAACCACCAGTACACACAACACTCAACACTGTAACCACCAGTACACACAACCCTCAACACTGTAACCACCAGTACACACAACACTCAACACTGTAACCACCAGTACACACAACCCTCAACACTGTAGCCACCAGTACTCACAACACTCAACACTGTAACCACCAGTACACACAACACTGTAACCACCAGTACACACAACACTCAACACTGTAACCACCAGTACACACAACCCTCAACACTGTAACCACCAGTACACACAACACTCAACACTGTAACCACCAGTACACACAACACTCAACACTGTAACCACCAGTACACACAACCCTCAACACTGTAACCACCAGTACACACAACACTCAACACTGTAACCACCAGTACACACAACACTCAACACTGTAACCACCAGTACACACAACACTCAACACTGTAACCACCAGTACACACAACCTTCAACACTGTAACCATCTTCATTACCCGGGCAACATCGCGTGTCACATCTACGACCATCATCACTACATTCCTTTCCTTCACCTTCGGTATCCGTTACCACCTTCTCTCATTTTTACCACCTTTCCTACCCCTCACCTTCCTAACTCTTTACCTTCCCTACCCTTCACAACCTTCTTCACCCTTCACCACTTTTCAAACCACTCTCTACCATCCCTACCCGTTACCACCTCCTTTATCCTACATCACCATATCACCCTTCACCACCTTCCCTACCCTTTATTTTCTACACACACCTTCACCACCTACGTTACGCTTCACCACCTTCCCTGTCCTTCACCACCTTCCCTACCATTCACCAACTTCTTCACCCCTTCACCACCTATGCCATTCACCACCTTCCCTCTCCTTCTCTACCTCTTCATTGCCTTTCCTTCCATTCATCACTATATGTATCTTCATACACACTGTCTTCGTCAATAAATAAATTAAATAAAACTTACATATATGATCCTCGCGAAGGAAATATTATGCTAGATGGATCTTTGTGAGTCTGGCGCATACCAGACTCTGTTCTCGCTAAGATCATAAACTAATATAATTGACTCCATCATGCAAACGGAGATATGAGGGTTGATTCAGACCTGACTATGACTATCCTGAACCCAATACCAGTCACCCTGCAGTATTTGGTGAGGTTAGCCCGAAACGTCTGGCTGCCAAGTGCACGTTTCTCGTGCACTTTCTTTTATAGATATGGTTTGTCAAGTGAGCTCCCTCTACTTTAGCAGACGGAGTTACAGTAGCGTGGCTGAGGAGCTGAAGCCCAACACGCACACGTCTGAAAAGGGCGAAACGACGATGTTTCAAACCTTCATGGTAATGTTGTGTAACAGAAAGTGAAATAGATAAACAATATAAGGCATGAGAGGAAGATGAAAGGCGATTTGAATGAAAGAGAAAGATGAAGATAATAAGATGAAAGAGCAAAGAATAACATGAAACATAAAATTAGATGAAAGGTAAGAATAAAGTGAATGATAAAATCAGATGATAGATAAGAATAATATGAATGGAATAAATGAGAGGAAAAGGTAAGAATAAGAGAAGACGTAAGAATAAAGATAATCAGGTAAAGTAAAGAAAAGGTTAGACGTAAGGGAAGAAAAGAGGAGGAATATAAAAAAGGATTTAAATAAGAAAAAGAAAGAAAAATAGAAAGGTAAAAATATAACAAGGTAAACAAAAGAAACTGGCAAGAAGCCAAATTTCGTTACTTTAGTAACGAAAGAGACAGACGGGAAAGAGAGCCAAGAGTGGCCGAATCTAAGTCAGATCACGCAAACTGAGAATTACCCTTCCTTATGGAAGGGTAATTCTCAGTTTGCGGTGATAATTCTAAGGGTAATTCTTTTAAGAATTAAAAGCTAAATTTAAAAGCTGGCTTAAATTAAAAGCTAGCACTCACCTGAGGTTGGAGCATTTGAGCATGTACTGTGAAAGAGAAGAGTCAACAGCTACAAAGCAGGACTTGGGTTCATGTTGGGTATGTTGTGTATCAGAGCTGATTCGACAAGATGACGTCTGTGAAGATTAGAGGCAGGAAAGATTATTTTAGCAGACCAATCAATAGCATGATTAGAGTCCCTAACATGACAGAAGAGAGCATTGTTTGTCTCTGCAGACTTAACACTTATTTTGTGTTCCTTAAGTCTGTCATTTAATACACGGTCAGTGTCCCCAAAGTATTGGAGAGGACAAGATGAACAGGAAATAGAGAGGACACCAGCAACATTAGAAGCAGGAGGAGGAGGAGCAGTGTGACCCAGATTACTCGGAAGAGTGTTAGTTTGTCGAAAAGCGAGTTTTATGTCAAGGGGACGAAGGGCATTAGGGATTTTTTTTACCTCAGATATGAAGGGAAGACACAACTCAGTGTTTCTAGTGTTGGAAACAGGTTTGGGATGAATGAAAATTATCTTAGTTTGAGAAGAGACTCTCTTTCTCTGTCGTTACTAGATTTTTCTCTTCCTTATTTGGCTTCTTCCAGATTTCATTTCTTTATTTATTGTTTGCCTTTCTGTGTCTAACTTTTCCTTATTTGTACCCTTTCCTATTCCTCTTCCTTTTTCTTTCCCTTATTTCTAACGTTTACTTTATTTTACCTAATTCTCTTATTCATTCCTTTCATCTTATTTTATCGTTCATCGTATTCGTTCCTTCATCTTTCTCTTTCATCCCAACTTTCTTCTTACTCTCATCCCTTATAATGTTTATCTCTTCCATTATTTCCATTACACGATATGATAATAGTTCAGGACGAACCGAAACGTCGTCGTTTCTTCAGTTTGAGATGTTTGGGCTGGATATTATCCCTCTACCCAGGTATTTTCTCTTGATGCGCGTGTATGTGTACTCACCTAGATATGCTGGCCCTCACCTGAATGTGCCTACAGCGTCCCTAGCTTCACCTTTCCCGCCCCTGATCACTTAATGCAACGACTTTTATTCGTGATTTTTGTGGTACTTCCATATGAAGATCGGTGTTGAGCTTGTTGTAACCCCTCACACCTGCCTACAACTATTACTCTTAAGTGCTGTTTAATGGCATCCCTCCGGCTCGTCTGCGTCTCCAGCTTCCACACGCGCGCGCGAGAGTGTATATATAAGCCTCCGGAGTTAGGTTTGGTGTTATGTCCACTCCCAGGTCTTTTTTTGAACACTGATCTTTGAGGTACTCCACTCGTTAATGTTCACCAGTCCGACCTTTTACCTCTTACTGTTACTCTCTGACTCCTGCTTATTAGGTAATTCCTTACCCCATGTTAGAACTTTTCCGCTTACTCCCTCCTGCCTCTGAAGTTTGTATAGTAATCTCTTGTGAGATTACTTTTCTATCTAGAAATACGCACTCTGCCCATCCTTCTTTGTCTTGGTTTATTCTTGTAACTGTATCATAGAACTCCAGTAGGTTTGTTAGGCATGACTTTCCTTCAATATAGAAATGTTGGTATTTGTTTACATACTTAGTTATCTCTGTGTCACTAGTCTTAACTAGATTATTTTTTCAAGTACTTTCCAGAGGATGCCTCTCAGTAATTCTGGCCTGTAGTTTAAGTGCCTTTTCTCTCTCTCCTGAAAATTGGTACCACGTTTGACTTCTTCCAGCAGCTGGGTAACTCTCCCTTTGTACGTCTCATTAAAGACTGCTAGAAAGCACAGGCCCTCGGTACAGGCTGAGGGCCAGTGCTGCCTCTGTTAATATCCATTGTGATATGCGAAAACACCTTGAAAA